CTGGGGGATGGAGAATGAACTTGGCAAAGACAGCCATGACTAACTGTCGTACTACCCTATCTTCCTGCCCCCATGAAGCTATCTCACGAGCGCCCATCAGCTCCTTACTGTCCGGCCCATTCGACTCATAGTGACCCTGCAGGGTGGAATCATATTGCTCCACTGCGCTTCCAAGGAGGCTGCCACCTCTTTCTTCTCAGGAGGAGAGTAGTGGGTTCAAACTGCCAACCATCGGGCCACCAGGGCTCCTTACTGAGTTCTAGGCCCTCACTCACGGCTATTGAGTCGATTTTGAATAATAGTGGCCCTACAGGACAGGGTAAAACTGTCCGTGAGGGTTTCCAAAACTAAAAAGCAGAAAGCATCATTTCTAGCCTCAGAGAGGCTGGTTAGACTTGAACCATAGACCTTGTAGTTAGCAGCCCAACTCATTACCACTATTCTATCAGGACTTCCCTCCCTCCTAGGAGCTCACTGCCTATTAAACAGCTATGGGGAAGAAAGGGTGGCCGGCATGGAGGTTAGATGCCCGGTCCCCTTCGCCCATGTGTGATTCCAAGATGAGAAGGTAGGCGGGCAGGAAGCATAGAGGGCTAGGACAGGAACCTACCGGACACAATTCAAGAGGATGCGGACACATGGCGATAGAGGTAACTAACACCCCAGGACGATTCTTGTGGAAACTTCCAGATGGGAGCCTACCTTGTTGTTAAAAGCTGTCACCCAAAACTCCAAAACGAGCTCTAGTATTTAAAAACAAACAAACAAAACGCTGGGACCGCCCTCTGTGCTTTGGGCTTTCTTGGGGAAGGGACGGTCCACGTGCCAGCAGCCTGACCGCGGAAGTGGCCGCTGCACGTGTCGGTCCTGACACGTGGGCCCGCACAGAGATGGCGCTGGTTCCCACCGTGCGGGGCCGGGCAAGCAGGACGTCCGGCGTCGACCTGTGACAGGAGCGTGCTGCTGAGTTCACTGTGTTATCACCTGGTAACATAAAATCCAGGTGGTGGGTGAGTCACCGGGGGAGAGGAGGAAGTCGGAGGACGCGGCGTCGAGCTTACACACGGTGGACCTCAGTGAGGACATCGTTGATGCTGCGCCACAACCTGCGCACGTCAAACCCGCGAGAGAAGAAAGCAAACCACCCAGAACCCTCCTGGCGTTTTTCAGGCAAATGGTAAGCCGCCTGGCTCCAGTTCGGCCCAGCTGGGCACTGTACTTCGGGCAGAGCTGCCCACGGCTAAGGGCTTCGGGCCACAGGCTCCTGGACGAGAGGTTGTGGTGGGTGGTGTGTGTAGGATGTGTGCGACATCGTTGTGGGTGGTGTCTATGGAATTGCAGGAGACGGGCAAGACTTTCTGCTCCCGTATAGGGTTGCAGTCTCGGGAGACCCACAGGGGCAGGTGTACTGTGTCCTGTAGGGTGACTTTGAGTCAGCGTTGGCTCAGTGGCAGCGAGGTGTTGGTAGATGGAATGCCAATGGTGCGAAGGGACCCTTCCTTTGCATCTTTCTGAGCCGCTGACCTCCCTGTGACACAGTGGCTGCCAGCGTGGGCTCCAACATCACCACCCTAAGGGCAGCGCAGGACACGGGTGGTTCTGAGTCAGGCCTGGCTCAAGATCAATCTCCATTTTTCACACAGGAAGAGTGCGGGCTGGTCCAGTTTCAGCCAATCCCAACATCCCCTACAAGTTCATGCCATCGTGGACCTTTATTTCTTTTGTAAAGTTGCCTTCTGCTTACGGCTAATTTTACTGCTTGCCTTGTTGTGTTCGTGCTACGGGGTTTCCTTTGGAAATACGATTGTCTCTATAAAGAACAAAAGGTGTTTTTCTTGCCTAGAGGATTAAGTAATAAGTTGTCCTCCAGTTGTATGTGAGTTTGGTAACAAGTTTCAAGGTCATGTGTGAGAGGCGCAAATGTGTAGCTCATTCAAAGAAGAAAGGTGACAAAATGATGTTCTAACAGTGAGCCGGTAGCTGGAGCAATCGCCTTGGTTTTAATTGGTAGAGAACAAGCCAGACTCACTGCTGTCGGGTCGATTCTGAGCCGGAGTGTCTGAGATTGTAAATCTTGATGGGAGTAGAAAGTCTCGCCTTTCTCCCTCAGGGTGGCCGGTGGTTTCGAACTGCTGAACCTGTGGTTAGCAGCCCGACACACAACCACTACGCCACCTGGAAAGAAAGAACTAGCCACTCTGTGGGCTTTAGATAAACATTTACGAAGCCGCTGGTGGGTTTGAACCACCAATTTCTCAGTTAGCTGCTTAGTCAGTTCAGACTCAGTGGCCCCACAGGGCGGGGTAGAGCTTCCCAGAGGGGAGCAGCTGGCCGCCCATGTTTCTCCCGCAGGTGGGTGCCTATTGCTCGCCTGCCAGTGGGCAGGTGGTTGTTAGGTGCCATGGAGCCGGTTCCGACCCTGAGCGACCCTATACACAACACGGAATGAAACACTGCCTGGCCCTGTGGCGTCCTCGGGGATTCCTATGCCTGAGCCCATGATGCAGCAGCTCGCAGGTGGGCCCCCATAAAGGTTGCAGCCCAGGAAGCCCTGTGAGACAGGGTTCAGTAGGATCACTGTCAGTCGCCGTTGGCTTGAGGGCAGTGGGTTTGGGAAGAACGTGCGTCGGTATCTTTTGAATTGACTAGGAAGAGCTGTGTGCATCACAGCTGTGTGCATCACAACACACCATCAAGATCTTAAAGGGCACAGCAGACTCAGATCAGTGGGAGAGGGGGGTGAGCAACACGTGAAAACCACGTGTGGTGTCGTTGGGTCACTCTGGCTTTGGAGGCTCCCCCTTTTGAGACAGTAACTATGCTATGGCCACTGGTTCCGTTGTGAAGGGATCCATTCTCGTTTGCAGAACCAACAAAGCGAAATTGTATCCTGCACGAGTGGAGCCAGCCCCCTTGGAAATAGCTGGGAGGCATTGTTCTCAGTTTCACTAACTTCTCAGGGAGTGAGATGGGTCAAGGCCTTGCGCACAGAGCAGGTGCCTGCAACGCCCCCTGAATTGATGGTCCTTTGCTCTCTGCAGTGTGGAGCTGAGCCTGGGCTTCCAAATGCCCGTAACAGAGCCAGCAAAGAAAAGACTCTCAGGCCTGTTTTTGGCAGCTCGAGTGAACTACAGATGGGATCCCCTCAGAGCTGGCCGTGATGCTGAGGGGGACCAATGTTCTTGTTTCTGGATGGACGGAAGAAACAGGGAAGCATGGGGAGAGAGATTAGGATGTCAGGGCCTTCCAGGTAACCAGCATGACGTTTTCTTCCTGGGAAACCTGCTGCCATCCGTCCATTCCGACTCTCAGGACAGGGTAGAACAGCCGCTGTGGGTTTCAAAGACTGGAAGTCTTCTCAGGAGTAGAAAGCCCCATCTTTCTCCCACCCCACAGAGTGGCTGATGGTTTCAAACTGCTGACCTGGCATGACCACTAGGCCACCAGGGCTCCGTTTGAAAGAGGAGGCCCTAACTGGCATCTGAACAATAGGCATCGGACCCTGAAGCGGTGCGCTGAGTCAGAGGAGGAAAGGGGAGTCTTTATGGCGAAGGTGAACCAGTGGGGAGCCCACAGCAGCACAAACAGACTGTCTTTGTGTGAGATCAGAACACAGAGGAGATGGAGCGTGGCTTTGGAAGCTGCACTTTGGGGAGTCTTGTTCAATGTTTTGCATGGACTCGGGAAACCACTGTTGACCACGAGCCAGCACACGGCACAGTAAGGTTCGCTCCGTCTCAGGCCTGTCTCAGGATGTCTTTGCTGGCTGACTAGACAGCTGGGCCTAGCCTTTCATCATCGACAGTCAGCAAATAAGAGAAGAGTCTCAGAATCATCTGGCCCTTTGAAGCGACATCTGCATCCAGCCTATCTGCTTTGGGGCAGTGTGGCAAGTTATAAAAATTCATAGAGAATGCATTCAGTAAAGGCCCTGAGGCTAACTGCACGTGGTAAGGTGGAGTTTTCTCACCACAGGAAGTAAAGTAACTTGGGTTACAAAATAACTCTCTCAACCACCCACTGCAACTACCTAAGACCAATCCTTCATTCTGAAGATCCCATATGACTTCATTCATACCCCACACTCGCTGTTAACACACCTGTAACAGAAGGTTCTATCGCTTTTGTCATACATTGTTGGGGAAAGTTTCTGTTGCAGGTGGTTGTAAGGGAACACTGTTTATTTCCGTTTCACACTGTTGGGGAAAGGTCCTGGCAGGAGAAACTGGAGAAGTCTGAATATTCAAGGGAAAAAGTAGACCCAGGCGAGACCTTTGGGATTGGG